TGTTTACATTCAAAGGCGTGAGGAACTGCCGGCTTCTCACCTGCTTATGTTTTGCTTATCGGTTTCACGTTATGTTGCTGTGGTACTGCTTTCTTATTTATTCACTGTTTACATCTTCTCATTCGTAACAATTATATCTTTTTAATTCTCTTTACCAAGTCCATGAATAATTAACTATATCATCTACTGTGAAACTTTAGTCCGAATAAATATATGTTGCGATTTCATACCACTAAACGTCTTGCAAATTATGTTGAAATAATTTTTCTACAATTTTCTTGTTTATTTTTGTTGCGTTCTTTCTATTCAGATTTTTATTCAAGTTTTTGGCGCCCTCCACTACCATTATATTTTCTCTCTCTTCGGTCTCTTTCTCAAATTTCCCATATCGCACTTTCACTCTCGCACTTATGCTACTTATGCGATATGTCTACGTTCGCTAAATAAGCAAAATTTACATTTACACAAGCGAGATGCAACCATTCACTCTACCGCGTATGCGGTTCGCGTAGTTCGGGAAAATTTTCCAATTGTTTTTTTTTTTATACCTTTAATTTTTCAATATCAAAATTTTACATATTAGAAGTAGATTTAAAGCTTGTTCAATACGAATTTAACTTTAGATACACTTAATACTTGTCGTTCGAATGCACTTTATCCTATTATCAAGGTATGAGAAAAAACACAAATTTTCACTGCAACGACGTAAAATCGCTGTGTAGTGGACGAAGAACGACATAAAATAAAGTTCACGATGCTATGTTTTCTCTTTACTGAGTCATATGGTTGCATTTAGTTGGAGTAGTCTTTTCCCATTTTTAATAGGAATATTTCAACAAACGCACCTGGCAAAATATTTCCAAATAGTTTTAATATAAAAGTATTTAAAATTTGTGAAGTGCTCTTTTGCTTAGTTGGATCTTTTACTAATACGGAATCATTCGTCTTATAAGGATTTTTCTTTATGAAACAAGGTTGGATTTTCATAAACAGAATTTATTAAATTACTGTCATAATTTAGGAAATACGTAGAGGGGAGTTTGACTGATGAAGGTTTCTCTTTTGAAGCGCGGCCGAAAGCTGCCCTCTCAGGAAGGAGTTAACTACGAATTACTTAAAAACTGGGCGGCCATCTCTACCCCCATTATATCAATGCGACAATCCCTACTGTACAATTTCCTTGTTATACATTTTATGTGAGCTTTTGTAAAACTTTTGTCAGATGAAATAAATAACATATCAAACCCTAAGACGTTAGCATGATTTGTTCAAAAAAATTCTATGCCGTTTGAATACTTGATGCTGTTCGGACTGATGTCAACAAATTAACCGAAATATTCTCCCGGATTATCAGCCAAAAATTTAGTCGGGCTCTTTTGAATCCCAGCAGACCAACTTAACACTGCAGTACTAATGTTATTTTTTATATGTAAATAATAATTCTTAGGGCAATTGGCTAACAGGTTGCAACTGCGATTGCGCCCAAACTAAAAAGTCTGCCAACTGTCGCTCCTCTATGTACGTGCACACCATGCAGAATTGTGTTAGGCGAAATTCTGCCAGTTCCGATGGTGTAATTTTATTTGAAATAAATTTTGAACCGTTTGTTTATATTTTTGGGCATAATATAACCTTAAAGGAGAGCCGACCTGAGTTGTCAATTACACCTTGTTTAATACACCATGATTACAACTCAACTCAACTATTTTTTCGTTTATGATTCACAACAAATTTTAGTTGTCTTTGTTAACTTAATGACAACCTGAAAATAGTTTTAGCTGCTAATTTCGAGATGACCACACCGAAATAGCAGTTATAACTTCTACCACCTTGTCCTAATAAGGTCAGAAAATGGAATCCGTAAGCGGATGAAATTTCACGCTTACTGTTTCTAACCAGAAACTTGTATATTATTCCTTTAAAATTATTTTACTCTTAAAGATAATGGTTAACTATTGATCTACAACATACTGCGCCATGTTTTATTTTATTTGGGATTTCCGAAAACCAACTACGTAAAATTCTTGCCTACTTTGGGTAGTAGCTCTTATGCTTTATAGTCTGTAAAGATTTATATTGCATTTGATTAAATAAATAAATTTAAATAAATATGTGTTACTACTGCAACACATGAAATGATCACTACGGCATAGAATTTTTTTTTGTTTTAAAGTAATCAATTTCGCAGTATTATATAATTCAATACTATTTGAAATTGCGCCTCAGTAACCCACTTGTTCCAAATTGTAGATTTTAGTATTTTTTTGTTTCTTTTAACAATTTTATATTTATTTCACCTCTGTTTGACAGCCTATCTTCTCACAGGATTCGTTTCTTGCCATTTTGCAACGTCCAATGCAAATGCAGACGTAAACAAGTGTTGTGTAAAAGAGATAGCAAGTGTATACAATTGCTTGTTACACACGCACACTCCCCCACGCACTCTTTTGTATGCTCAAGTGCTTTATCGCAATTATCCGACATCTTCACTTTTTATGGCAATATATAAATTTTAGTTTTGCAACCATTTCCTTCACTATGGCTTACCATTTTCTGATGATTTTCCAAAAATATTTTTGTCGGCTGGATGTGATTACCGTAGTTTCACTACTTGCGTACATTTACTATATGCAACACTGGCCCGTACACTTTAATATTCCGCTTCGCTTTATTCACTCCGCCTACTTTGACCAATTGCTGCAGGTACAGATAAAAACGCACTCTGCTAAATTTCCTTGTTCGTTTTCAGGTTGAAACTACAATCTTCTTTTTCACTGTACAGTTAGAAACTGGTGAAATGCCACCAATGGTATTTTTAACACTTTATCTATATACTCTTAAGTTTATTTTATATTGCGGCTAATTAAATTTCACAAGTTTTCGTTGAATATACATTCATATGTATATGCATTCACTAATCATAATTTTGACTGCATTTCGCATGTATTGTTGAACACAAACTGGTGTTGAAATTTCTATATTGGTCCACTCGCATTCCGACTTGCTCAGCCATGATGCTTGCTTTCCTTTTCTCTTGTCAACATCTACTTTTCCTTTTTTATTGTATACAACCAATTCTTATCGGGGAACCGAAGCCAAATGTTTAGTACATCGCTAAATAAAGAGCGTGTTAGAGTGGCAATATTTTCCACTTTTTTACGCAATTCGCTGTCAAATTGAGAAGATAAACTTTATTTCGATGCGTGAACAGCCAGAAAGACCCTTCTGTCATATTTCGGAAATCAATTTCAGGAATAAAAGTTGCAAGATGTGACGGCAGTTGAGAGAGCGCAAATCGACTTCGGAAATATATTTCTGTCAGTCAAAACAAAAATAGCTTTCTCCCTTTATTTTCTGACATTGGGCTGCCTTATAGTCAAATTTTATAGGCAAATTGTCATAATCTTTTTTCTCACTCTAAGGCCCTGTCTCCACAGGAAAACACTGATGTCGTAATAACCATGTCACAAAANTCCAATTCTTATCGGGGAACCGAAGCCGAATGTTTAGTACATCGCTAAATAAAGAGCGTGTTAGAGTGGCAATATTTTCCAGTTTTTTACGCAATTCGCTGTCAAATTGAGAAGATAAACTTTATTTCGATGCGTGAACAGCCAGAAAGACCCTTCTGTCATATTTCGGAAATCAATTTCAGGAATAAAAGTTGCAAGATGTGACGGCAGTTGAGAGAGCGCAAATCGACTTCGGAAATATATTTCTGTCAGTCAAAACAAAAATAGCTTTCTCCCTTTATTTTCTGACATTGGGCTGCCTTATAGTCAAATTTTATAGGCAAATTGTCATAATCTTTTTTCTCACTCTAAGGCCCTGTCTCCACAGGAAAACACTGATGTCGTAATAACCATGTCACAAAATATATTTCCATTGGAGACAGCCTATTTCTCATGGAATGCAATATATGTCAGCGCTTATTGCTTGACATCTATTGCAGGCAATTTGAAAATTTGACAGCCATATTTTCATTTGAAAGAAAGCGTGCTGGTGGTAACACCAATGAAATTTTGATATTAAATAAAAATAAAAATATGTTCCCTATTGGATTATTTATGATTACGTTTTAGCAAATTATTCAGCAAGTTTTTGAAATTGAGAGAATGATGTCTGGTGGCGTCATGCGACAAATGCTTATTTCAAGACATCAAAGTGCCCACACACAAAAATTTGCAATCATATTGCTCGTCAAAATGGCAGTTGGTAGGCCATCGGTGTTTACCTGTGGAGTTCTGCGGTAATTACTTCACCTGGTATAATTCCACCAAGAATTGGAGCTTTTTACGAAGCAAACGCAATGGTAACACTACAAATTCTTGTCAGTATTTAGTACTAGGTCTGATCCCGTATTCCTCGGACTAAATCTATCAAAAAATAAAAATTCGCTCAGAGCGAGGGAGTAACACTAAAAACTATAATAAAAATATTTAAATGTTTTTATCATAGTAAAAGGTAGGACACCCAAGACACATTAGCCCAGAGTTCTAAAGTTTTACAGTTTTAAGTTTAGAATAGAATTTTAAGTTGTGTCAATCATTGCTAGCGCTGCGTTTCTTTTTAGCTTATTTTATAATTTTATTATTATTTAAGCTTCGTTCGATTTTCAAAAATGGGGTGTCAAATTAGAGCGCTTGACCTGAAGAAGTGCAAACTGATTTTATTTTTCAAAAAGAGTTGCCACCTGTTGACCAATTAAAATAAATTTTTTTAATAAACAATTCCATCAGATCCAATTCGTTCGTTCGATTTTCAAAAGTGATACATACATCTCTCAGCTCTCTCCACCGGCAAATCTGGGATGACGTCATACTTCCGTTACTCTCCCGAATTTCACATCAATCAGCGCAATCTTGTATTCTATCGGTCTTGACTGTATACGCTAAAAGCAATGTTGCCATTTTTCTCATTAAACCATGTTGTTCGAATCGTGGAAATTTTTGAAGATCACAGGGTTGCTTTTAGCATTTAGCAGAAATAGAGTTGCATTTAGGTGACGAATTTTGTATGGATAAATGTACATTTAGAGCAGCATTTAGAGCTAAATGCGCTAAATGTGCTTTTCCGTGTAAGCAAAACAGCCCATTATAGCCTGTTAGTAGTTTTTCCAGCATGGGATCGATTTCAAATGAAATCTGTTAAAAAATAGTGTATTCGGTTTCGTACGGGATCGCAACTAAATACTAAACCAGTGGAAGTTGTGTTCTCCATTTTGTTTCCGCTTCCGTTACAAGAACAGTTTGCCAAATCGCAGTTTATTTCAATTAAATTTTGCAACTAAAAGTCAAATAATGGATCTACCGAATTTTCCGATTGTTGAAGTCGCCAAAAGTGATGTTGAGATAGTGGAAAATCCACTGCTAGAGACATTTCTTCAGCAATTCATCACACAACAGGTAAGAGAACTTTTTACAAGTATTCTTGTATGACATAGCGCTTCCCTATATACGATAGATGGACGAAATTACGCAAATTAAATCATCCTGTGAAAATTTAAAACAATTAAAGGAGAGTTTGCAAGCTTCAAAGGATAAGTATCTTGGAGAAATATTCACACTTACGCATAGTAATACCAGTGGTGGGATTTTGTCGCAGCAATTGCTCCAGCGAATCCAAGGGGAAACTCGAACGTTTCGAAAGCGTGGACAAATTGCCGATGAGGTGTTGTTGAATTTCTTTAGGGATTATGTAGAAGGGCGCTGTATTTTGGAACAGAAAAAGCAAGCTTTGCTGGCCGCCGATGAATTGATCGATTTGGTAATTTTTGCAAGAAAAAAAGTAAAAATATATAATCTCATGAAACTCTCCAGTCCCAACCTGAGTTAGAGTCAAAAATAGGAATACTAAAGGAAGATACCAAGAATACAGAGGATGAACTCAATGCTTTTGAAGAAACTATTCAAGCCAACAATAAACTGTTAGATGAAGAGTCTAAAGCATTAAACGAAGGAATAAAAACACTCCAGTCGGTGCTTTCAGATGTGGGGTGAGTAAGTTAAAAACGCTGGCAAATACAAGTATAATAAAAACCTACACAATTTGTGCTGTAGAAAAGATAACAAAAATTCAAAGCATTTTATATAGCTTTTGCTTTTAAACAGCACTACACTACAGCGTTCAGACGAGTCCAAGGAAATTGAAAAAGAAAAAAACCAGCAGGATATCAATAAATTATTGAAAGAAATCGACGATTTGAGGAAGAAAATCGAGCTATATGAGTGAAAGTCAGAAATTATATGAACTTACATAAATACCTTTAATAAATATTATAAATATATGACGTAGCTACATTAAAGCATAAATGAATAGGACTGCTCTGGATGTTGTGGAAATGGTCTTGGATTTGCAGTTGGAATTGCATTTGCAAATTTTTTGTTTGCTGCCATGGCAACCGTGTGCATTTTATTGTGGTAAATTTACAAATCCAACGAATATGCAAATGCAAGAGCACATGCACAAGATCCTGAACAGCCCTTACGTATTTTTAATTTGTATATACAAGCAATATCGCACTCTACTTAATTTTTATGCAGCGCCAACCAATACTTGGCATCTACCGTCGCATTACCAAACGTCCTTCCGAATGTGAACGCTTCGCCAGGGACATGTCCTGCATAGCTAGGAACCATGCCGATTGTACGATGGTAAATGACAAAGTGTCCTGTATTCGGACATGAACTGCCAATGCCCGCATTCTCTTGTGGACACCATTCTGCACTTCGCCGATGATGGTAGTTATTGGTGAATTCACATAGTGCGGAATTGGTTAATTGTTTGTTAGTTTCGCCAAAACGCGTCAGCGCCATAGGAATGTGACCGCCATAGCCTGAAAAAAGCAAAGCATAAATGTATGCACATTTAAACACTATTTTTTTTTAACGATTTAAGTATATTTTAATAGTCAGTTACGAGTAGAATAAGACATTTTTAATTGTTCTTGAGCCAATGGTAGCACAAAAATGGTTCTATGAGCGTTCAAAATTCCTGCACTTGAATCTACCCAAATTCCTGTAGTTCTAAAAACAGGCCGTTAGATCGATAATTTACGATTACGAACTTAGATTGAAACTATGCAGATAACTCAATTTATTTAAACATTTCTATTCTATTATTTTCAATGAAAAAAATGTAGTCTTTAATATGGCAGTTGATAGAATGTAGCGCTTAGCAACCAAACTAATAAACAGCAACAGGTGGGAAAAGTTAGGATCATGGCGTATTCATATATAATTTGGCGGTAGCTCAGTTAATCTTACCATTAACAATATACTTCTCCTTGTCATCGTTTTCCATGAAATGTGGCGCAGTAAATTTGGAGTAAGGTGCTTCCTTATTCGTATAACTACAATCCAGATTTTTTAAAGCTCTTGCACGTGCCTTGACGGGTATTAAAGGTGACCGATAATATGTAAGGGGAAGCTGACAAACAAAAGAAATGCATAACGCTGCTTAATTGAATGTCAACTCTCTTTCCTTACCAAACGCTCGTTCATTTTCCTTTCAAACACACCCAAGCCACTGCCTAAGATATCACGATGAAGTAAATTTCTGCGTTCACAGCGCAACTGATCCATTAGCAACTCGTGTTCGGCCATACCCGCTGTAGCGGCGGCAATATATCGCTTGCCAATTTTAGATGCGAGATTTGGTACGAAACCATCATAGCCGGGTATGATGGGATGACGATAAACTGGATCAACAAATTTTTCGCGGGTATTTAGCAGTTCAGTTTCATGTACAGTGGGATATTCGAGCGATAGTGGTTCTCGATTTGACGGCGTTACAATCAACTCGGGCGCGTGTATGACACAGGGATCGATGAGCAGTTTATGTGTTAGTTTACCATACGTTTTGCCAGCGCGGAAACGAAATTGTGGACAGTGGCCAGTGTAGCTGCGAGTTATTAAAAAACTATAAATATTAATGCCTAAACGCAAATGGAAAAACAAAAATTTACCCGGGAACGAAATGGGGTTCAGGTGTAATGACCAAGTCCATGTTGTTGGCCTTGTTTCTACGATGCTATTTCACTTAAATACTACAAATTTTGTATTTTTACTACTTCTATGTTTTGTTCCAACTTTCTTTCAATATAGCCACATACAATTTTGGACGAAGGATTTTACAGATTTATTTTTATAAAAAATTATATAACAATACAATATTTTTTGACTGTTAAATAATCATTTTCTAAACGATTTGTTTTAGTAAAATTTAAAAGATAGAAAAAATATAAATATAATATATTTTTTGACATTCACCTTTTCACTTATATCCTACGTTCTACGTTCCATATCTAGTTATTTTTGCGTTCGTACTATGGGCTAAAGTCCAGCCACTTTGAGCATTTCTTCAACATCTACAAACTTTTCGCGTGGTTTACATAGTTTTTGCCCCGCTTGCATCTCAGCTTGATCGATGCGCTCCCAATGTGACCATGTAACAAGACGTTTAAATTGCTTTGCTTCCAAACCTAGTTTAGCTTTGCTAGTATCCACTTCATTTGACAAAATATCATCACATATTGTTTTTGCGACGCTGAAAGCACCATTCATAGTCGTTAAAATAACACCTGTAGGACCAGTACCCAACCAACCCGCTACATAAAGGCCCTTGTCTACTGTTTTGCTAGCCGCATCCTTTAACACGCGACCTATTGTAAATGTGAGCATTAACTAAATGTATGAATATTTATTAGATGTCCATAAATACTTACCATATTCATTGTATACACAGCCACTGCGCTTATCAAAGCAAATTCCACCATCGACACAAGTAGATTTGTAGCCTATGCTGCGGAGTAGTAAATCAGCTTGAAGGTGTTCAGATCGGTTAGTCGGCACAGCTATATCGTTTTGTAGTTTTGTAACGGTCAATTCGATTTTGTTATCCTTAATAAATTTTGGAGCTCGCAAAAATATGGGCAAGAATTGTTTCTTGTTGCTAGTACTTGCCGACTGTTCTGACAAACTCTTCAGCATCAATTCAGTGAGGCGTTTACGTGGCCGCTGTAAATTGGGTATTTGTGCAGGAACATCTGTAAACCATTTTTATTTGCATCTATATGTATGACAATAATGAATTTTAGTCGCAACTTGCCTGTAAAGTCATCGGGTCTCCACAGTGTTTGCACATTTGGTAATTTTAACATTTCACGTAATTCTTTTATAGTGAAAGCAGCCTGTAAAGGACCTCGTCGGCCAACCAAATAAACTTGCTCGACTTTGCTGCGTGAAAGCGTCTCCAAAGCATATTCAGTAGTATCTGTTTTCTATGAATTAAGAAAATTTTACTAGTTAGAGGGTTATCTACCACATATTTACCTACGCGCAAAACATCCAATGGACTAAGTAACATTCGCGCCACGTCCACAGCAACATTGCCTTGCCCTAAAATTGTCACAGTTTGCCCACCCAAAATGGGATTTAAGTGTTGTGCACCTGGCAGGCCATTGTACCATTCCACAAACTTACGAGCAGACAGCACATTTGGCTGATCTTCATTAGGTATGTTCAGCTGACGATCCTGATCTGCTCCATAAGTCAGCAGAACTGCATGATAGCGTTCTCGCAAATTTTGCAAGCTTACATCTTTGCCTAACGCTACGTTACCCCAAAAATTGAAGTTTTTATGTTCAGCTGTTTTAGTAAAAGTATTAATAACGTTTTTCACCTCGGGATGATCGGGCGCAACGCCATAACTGTAAGAAATATACATATAATATTAGAATAAAAATGTTAGTGAGTTACATTTAAACCGGTTCCTTGGTCATCGAACCAGTTTCTACTTTTCGTATTCAAAAACGCACAGGCTCAACCTTATTTACTTAAACTTGCACAAATATACATATGTTGTTCTTAATCATTCATACATATGTATCTGCTTGGATTAAAATAAGTTATCTCACCGTACTAAACCAAATGGAACAGGCAATTTTTCAATTACATCCACCACACTTCCATTCAAGTGTTTGAGTATATACTGTGCAGCGTAGAATCCAGCCGGTCCCGAACCAACTATGCAAATTCGTTTCGTTGCACCAGAACCGACATCGCTACTGAATCCTCTACTGATGGCACTGAGCCACATTTGCTTTGAATTTGCTGATATGGCCAATCTTCCTGATATTAGCATTTTGCTGTGCTTGTCAACCAAATGTTAGGAAGATTGTCGCTGCTAGTCAAAGGAAATTTCTTTTTATCAGTGAAAAAGATAAAAACAAGAGAAAAAAACATCGCCCCGAGAAGTCCATTGAACTGTTGAAGCTTTTTTGGGATTAGGAAACAGCTGATTGCAGAAAGTTTTTGTTCCAATTCGCTGTTGACAAGGCGTATTCATACATGTATAATGTGTTGGTAGCTCGCTGAAAAAGTACTAAATACGTTTCGTACTAAAATAGCAGAGCTGTAAAATGATTGAATCAACATAGTCTGCATTCACTCGGCATTCCTTTCAAAATGTTGATTGTTGGTTTGTATAAATAAAAACTTCATTCCTGAGTGGCTTAAAATATTTCAAAACAAACAAACTGTGTTTTGTTATTGAATGCTAGATTGCCATTCAGTATAGAATGTGAATGTTCAGCAGCATTCGCACTCACACATGATTGTATATTTAGAATGAATGCACACTTTTTTTTCCATTCAGTACCAATAATTTGTTCCCAGGGTTGATATATTTTATACTTTAAAGTTTGAACATATCTGGAATTGAAACAAAAACAAATATTTTATTTCAAAGTATATGTACTTATGTATTGAAGTTTTCTGCCACTAACCCAAAGCCAATGACTCGTGCAATATTATTTATTCCAAAGCAACTTATCGCAACCGTAGAGCAAAACAGACACATCTTGATATGTATACATATACATCATCGATTGTAGACATTTTTTCGCAGAAGAATATACAAAATTGATTTATCACAATTATTTTTGTACTAAATATTTTTTTCACAGTATACAGTGATCCAGGTAGCCAAAACAAAAAATGTAAACATGCTTATTTGACATTTTGTTTGAATGAATCGGTTGATATTTTTTCACAGTTGTCGTTTTCGTTAACCCAAATGAAATCCAATTTAAATATTTTCTTATAGTGAAAAATATTTTCAAGTCACATAAAATAAAATAACGAGAAACACGAAATTCCAAGCAAATGAAGCGTGAAGCGTTAGCAATTATGACCGGATGCAGTTCCTACATAAGTCAAACCGTGTTCTGAACACAACTTTGAGTGAATAATGGTGGGCTGACTTTGTAAAATGGTCCCATCGATTAGGCGGTAAAAGAAGTATTACTTAGCTTATGGTACAACTCTCCAATTTTCAAATGCACGTAATTTGTGTGTATTTGTTCAGCCGATTATTCACATTTGAAAGAGGATAATGCATGAATTAATGCAAGTAAAGACGGTTTATGCAGATAAGCGAGCGCGTTTGTTAACCGTATAAAATGTATGTACGTATATACACATATATTCAGAATGACGAGATGAACTAGTTCAGCCCTCTCTGTTTGTAAACACGCTAACTCGAACAAAATTTACTTATTTTAACGAAAGTCGGTGTTGCCTTTGGTATAATTTAGGTTAGTGTTAAATTTTGTCGAAATCTGCCAATAACCACGCCCACCTCCCACGTAGTAATTAACAATATTTTTGTTTTATTATAATTTGTTTTACGAATTTTGCTGTTCAAATTTACATTTCAAATATATCAACAAACATTTGTAGGTACTTTTGCACCAGTTGTTGCCTATGGGTTAATGACAAAAAAATCCTATATATTCACAACATTTCATGTATTAGTTTTCAAATAAGCATATTGTCAATGGCTGGTTTGCTGTATACCATGATACAATAATTTTTAGAAGGTAGTTTCACTTCTTCTTCTTATCCGCCATGTTAGCTATCTGACGGAAAACGTGTTTCGTATTTTTTGTTGTACCAACTTTTTCAAAAAAAAAAATCCAGCTTTTTATTTGGAAAAATAAAAGAAAGAAAAGCCAAACATATAAGTAGAGAAATTTTCGAATATTTTGTAATAATTTTCTTCATAAAAAATTAACTGCTTCTTTCCTGGATATTGCAACACACGGAATAGATGAAAGGACACAGCTATAAGAGCCACCGCTCACCAAAGACTTTATCGGCCGCCTATTTAAATGATAGGGCTCGCTTGAAATATGTACATGAAGCTTAATCGCTCTGACCAATAGGTTGTGGTGCAATGGAAAGACTAGCGAGCACATCTAAATTGGCGGCCGATAAAGTCCGTGGTATGGGATGGATCTAATCCATTATAAACAAGAAATATTGCTGTCATATTTTCATTTTTATGATTTTTATTCATGTGATTAGCAGTGGCAAAAATGTATGTATAAAATAGGTATATTTATATTAAAAATTAAGTGATCAGTTATGAAACATATAAATCTTTACATGTTCTGTTAAAAAATATCTAAAATAACAAGCGATAATCCCCAAGTTCTATATGGTAGCAGTGGCCACATTGCTCGTTTGTCACAGACACGGTTTATGTCAAAAATTTTGAAGTGAAACTACCCTCTAAAAATTATTGTATCATGCTGTATACTGTGATTTTTTTCAGTTTTAAAATATGAAAACTTTCAAAACAAAATTTCAGAAGGGTTCCTGTTTTTTTTTAAAGGGGTTGAGGAGTTCCATTACTTTGAGCAACTTTTTTAATTAACTATTAATTTAAATGTTTCCTAAACATATTTACAACGCAGTTCTGCAAGAGGGTACCATAACTTTTTTTCAAATAACGTATATTTGGAACAACCAAAATTAATCGATATGGATACATACATTTATGTACTACTTATGTATGTATATATACATAAAAATGCTCNCACTTATGTATGTATATATACATAAAAATGCTCAGAATAAAAAGAGAACATGATTAGTCCATGTCCGTTTATTTACGTACACGATAACTCTAGCAAAAGTTGAGATATCTCAACCAAATTCTGTACGAGGGTTTTTTTATCTAAACCTGGTCCCTCTCATAAAATGGTAATTTCGAAAAATGCCAAAACTACAATATTTCCTTAATTACAGGAACCAAATTGCTAAAAAACTGCCATGTTTATTATTATAGTTTTGGAAAATGGACATGGGATATATTGCTAGCTTTAAACATCAATTTGCTCAAAACATACGTTTAGAACAGTGTGCAAGCTT